TTCAAGATAATGAAAGTACAAGCTCCTCTTCGACATTAGATAAACAGAAGTTCCTTCCTCCTTCGAAAAAAATTCCAACTCCTCTACAGTCTCCCATAAAATCTCCTTAGAAAAAACAAAACTCCAACTCCTCCAAAGAAGCCTTCGCCCATCATAGAAGTAGAACCGGAACCTTCCATGTCCGATGACAACTCTTTTGACTCTCCTAAGACAAGATAGAAAAAGGCTGACTAGAGAGCATCCAAGTTAGTTGAATACATATGCCTAACTCAAGGATTTGATATGAGAATTAATGAAGCTCTAATCAATTCTTGGGTAAATATGATTTGAAGACTCTTGGGCATGGATTATATTCCTCATCTTATATTTTCTCAACCCCATGTTGGTGAATAGTGGGGCATTCCTCTCTCTCCTAATGATAAAGACATCCTTATATTTAAGCCATTTGACCAGAACATCCCAGATAATCGAAGAATTCCCATGGGGTTTGAAAGATTTAACTTGTTTCACAACAAGTATGGTAAATCAATGAAGGAGATCTGGTCAAATGACATGCTTGAAACCCTTACAACTTTCAAACAATGTCTTTCAAAGGCGAAACGCACTATCAAGTTTTGTCAGTCCCTTCGGCATAGAGTACCACCGAACACAAGCTTACTTCATCTTTATGAATCTAGAAGAGATTTTTTTCTGATTGCAAGGGTCTTCCAATTCAAGATGAAAGGTGCATATATAAGGGTTATGGATTTTCTCAAAGCTATTGTGTGTGACTTCGTAAAAATTGATGTTGAGATCCATTTAGCTCTTGCAGAGAAATTAAACTTCCTTCCATTTGAACATCCTCCATTCATTACCGAATGGTTTCAAGACTCAAGCCTCGTAGCAACAAACTTCCCTAAAATTGGCATTGTATTAAAGATTGCCAGAGAAAGTGAAAATTTCTTCTTTCCAGCCACTTCTTTTCATCGTTGCTCTCCAAAACAGCTTGAAGACACTCTCTCTATGGTTGAAAAGTCCAATTTTACCACTAAAAGGTGAAGTTTGAAATCTTCGGAAGAATCAAATGGATTGTTGAAGTTAGAAAATTTTGGTGGATCATTAGTAAGTTTCATAAACATAATAAGTGGAAGGGATAACTCTGAGGTCACTTAGGGGAAAATTGTTGATGCATAAAAGTGACACTCGATAGTTATGAAGTTTATTGAAGGACCGAAGATTTTTTTTGGTTGCGGTAGTGCTCTTGTTTTTTATCAGTAGCGAACAGTTGTGAAGTTTAGTACTAAAGCCATGGAATACCGTAGTGGAGGATGTTGACCCGAAGAATATTACAATTTTTCTTTTGTACGCCAAAGTATCAGAAAGTAATGTTCGCCTATTTTAACATTGTGTGTTAGATAAGTTTTGTCAAACCAGTCATACAAAGCATGGCCCCTGACTTAGGAGTATTCTATTATTTATCAGTAACCGGTTTTACTATAAATAGATGATCATGTAGATCGATCTATTTTCTAATTCTCATCTTTTAATTGTATTATTCCTTATTGAATATAAGTATTCATTATCTCTGTTTTAGATTGTTCATCATTAATGAACTTGTATTCGAATGCAAACCTAATTACGATTCAACTAAGTATTTTTAATTGTTTATGCTTTCTAATTAATCTTGTTGCTATATTCTTCCTTTTTTTCCGCATATTTCTTTATTGTTGATCTTATTAAAAGATCCATTGAGATTAACTTATATTTCCACAAATCAATATCTCAACATATGTTTTTCTCTCAACAAATATAACTTCTTTTACCCTTGATCTAGTCAGATTCACACTATAAATATTGATTGTAATAATTTTTAGTTTGAAGAAAATGAAAAAAAAATCAGTAAACCTTGACTAGAAGAGTCAAAGTGTTGAAAATACTGAAACATAATTTCAGTATCATCAACTGGCAAGTAATACGAAAAATAAAGAGTTGTGAATCACCAAATTAATGATAAAAAACGTTTTTTTATGTTCAAGATCAATGATTAAAAAGTGTCTCATATTCATAAAGATTTAGTTACAAGTGATTGAATGTAAAATAAGTAAAACTCTCAAGTGGCTCTTTAAAAACTAGTCTAAACAGTAAATGTGACGAGTCTTCATAATTCTTGAGCCTTCTTGATCAACATTGAAAATGTGATGAACAACATGATCATCAAGTTGCTCCATGGTCTTCAAAGATGTCATCAACTTCCAGAAGTGTCGTTGATCAAGTTGAGTTGTTTCTTGAATGTTGGAATGTGTCTTGAACTTGAAGATGTACAGCTATGTGTTCATGATGGACCATTGACGAAATTCATGTGCCTTTGAGTATTTTATCATGCCTTCATTATATAGAATGTTCCATGTGAAATCCATCAATGTGATCATGTTGATCCATTAACTTGTGTCACACCCCCAAACCAGAATGGCGGAAACATTCGGGGGTGGGTGACTTCACGTAGTACCATAACAATTGAATATCATAAAGAAAGTAACACAACCATCATATATATAACAAAAACGTACAATGTTGCGTAATACATGTTTCCAAAAGAATATTACAAATATGATGATTTAAAATGTTTGATAGACGCCTTAGCGTTCCTTCTTCAAAAGCAGGTAGTTACCTGTATTACTAATTCCCTAAGAAATATAAGTAGTTTCGAAAAAGTGTCAACAATAATGTTGTTGAGTTCATAAGTGCTTTTATACTTAAAAAGTATGTCTTTTTGGAAGAAAATAGATGAACGTAGTTTCCAGAAAATTCAATATTTTCCACATATAGTTTGAAAAACTCCCAAAAGTTGGAGGGCGTTAGTATCTTTCGTACCTAAATGATAAAGATGAATTTATACTCAAAATAATATAAATACTGAATGCATTCATGAGTCTCTTAAATCAAGCTTATTTTTATACTTCCGTGTGAGTCTTATAACCATGTTATTGACACAGACTGCCTGTAACAACATTCTTCAGGTGTTGTAGTGTTATGGTTTATAATACAGGACTTGAAATGCATACTTGAGAGTACGTTGAAGTTGAATATCTCACAACACTTAGTATAAATAGATTTATGATAAGAAAGTCTTTATTTCACTTCAAATGAAAGTATTTCGTTTTTCAAGATTTTTACGTAAGAATGTACGAATAACTCGCAAACTATACCCATTATAGTTTTTCAGAAAATGTGTTCCATTTGGTGAAAATAACTCAGTGAAATACTAACTTTTTACGTAAAGTAAAATGTTGATATCGAATAATGATAAGATAGAAGTTGTATTTTTATCTATATAAAACGATAGGTTTTCTTGTATTGTACTTGTATTCCCCCCTAAAACATGAAAAGATGTGAAAAGTAGGGGTATGAACTCACTTGTTCGGTTTGAAGAGAGTGAGACTAGAATCGAGCAGAACTTCAACTGCGGAAAGTTGCGTCTTCGAGCTTCTCGTGGATCTCGGTAACGTAGAACCTTCGTCGGGGGCTCGGGTATGGAACCGAGGGTGTCGGGATGGCCTCTAGAGCTCATAAGTGAGTGAAAGTGAGAGAGAGTTTGAGAAATGTGTGCCAAAACCCAGAGCTCATGCCCTCTATTTATAGGGTTGAAAGTAGGAGTACGATGGGCGTACTATCAGAGTACGTTGGGCGTACTTCGGTTACGCTGGGTGTAAATATGTGTCATGGCTTAGGACTCGATTCTAGCTAAGCGTAGAGCCTGGTAGCTGATGGGACTTGACACTGCACCAAAGTACGTTGGGCATACTCTTAAATTACGTTGGGTGTAATTTGGGCTTCAATCTTCTAAATTTCGTACCTTTTGCGTACGGGCTTTGTTTTTCGTGTTCTTTATATCCACGCGTAGGTGAGACCATGATCTACAACTTTCATTTAGACTCCCTCGGCTAGTTTTGACTTTATTTTTAATATTATGTTTTGGTAGGCCGGGACTGCTAAAGTTCGTTAAAAATTCATAACTTCTTTATCCGACGCCTCATTTCGTGTGTCTTTTCACCATCTTACTCCTGTTGTGGAGACCTTCAATTCTCGTTTAGGTTGGATTAGCTAAAAACCATTCGATCTTTAATTCGAGTTTTTAACTCTCTACTGCTGTTATGAAACTTAGAAATTTTGTAACTTCTTCATACGAGGTCCAATTTGGGTGATCTTTTTATGCATGTTCACGGTTTAACGTAATCTACGACTTTTGTTTAGATAACTAAAGCTAAAATGCATTTTATTGTAATTTCACTTTTTACGTTTAATAATGTTTTACCGGGTGTGTCGTGAATATTTGAGTGGTCATAATCTTTTCGTTATAATTCGGTTTTGAATGTTCTTTATATTTTTGGAAACCTTGGCACGATATCTAACATTTGATGCATCCCAAATTTAGATTTTTGAATATTTTATTTTTGAGGTTAATTTTGTTGATTCCAAATAGTTCGTTGTATTTGACTTTTGAGTGTTACATTGATTTGGAAAAAGATAGGGTTGTCACAACTTGAGATGAGCCACAAAGTATTCATGTTGATCCATCAACGTCTTGATACTCCAAATATGATCTAGATGTTCCTTCTGAGATCATGATGATCCAAATTGCTTTCTTCAAGTTCTCAATTTTAACAAGTGATCCATGTCAATAACAAGTGCTCCATGTCAACAGCAAGTGCACCTTGTTCACTTCAAGTGCTCCAATATATCATTCTTCAAACACTTGTTGAATCTTCAGGATCTTTCCAACCTGAAACATTCTGATAATGTTTGTTAGAGAGATATATAAGTAGACTCACTTATTTCAAGTGACAATCACATACATATATTTTTCACCAATTTCCCCCTATGTGTTGGTTACTGAAATAAGGAGTAAAAATAAAAAATAAAAGTAAAAACATGCAAGATGAAATTTAACAAAAATATGAACTACTAGTAGCAGAAAGAAAACATCATCCACATGTTTTAAAATGTAAACAAAAACACACAATCTAAACTTTGTTTCTCAAGTATATTAACCACTGTTGAAAACTTAAAAACCAAGTAAGTACTTGAATGATCTTCACTCTCAACGAATTATCTTGATCTCTTGTTCTCTTCAACAAACCAATGATGCCTTGAATGAATTCAGAAGAGAATAGATGTTTTTGAGAGATTATCATAAATCTCAGTTGACCTTTAGAAGAGAATACAAGTCCTCTATGTGGTCTCTTTAGTATGTTACCAAGTGACTCCTTTTCCACATTTAGTTCCAAATCTGGTTCCTCAACTTCATTTTCTCCTAGGTATCTAATTTCCCAGTCAAAACCAAAATCAATAACTATGTCGAGCACATATTGCCTTAGGAACCATAAAGCATCTGCATAAGCTTCATTGGTACTCGCCCTCTACTTCAACCATATGATCAATGATCTAATATCAGCTTGATTTATTCTAGGTAATTAGCTTCAGAAAACATGAATTCAGAGTTGTTTTCCCTTTTTCCATGAAGGAATGCATATGAAATCTTTCTAAATTCTCGTATGTCAAATTTGTTAATTGAAGCAATCTTAAACTTTGACCATATAGAGACACCTTAAATTGGTTTCTTTAGGAAGAATCTTTTCTTCACCTCTTCAATGTCTACACAAGGATCAACTAGATAAATTACACTAGGCCATAAATTGAACTTCATACCATTCGGGGGTACATGAATATCCTCGTTTTCTTTAGTAAGGTTTAAAGGAGGTGTAAAGGAATTTGTGGGCTTGATAAACTTGATATTTAGATAAGAATCTCTATTACGATTGAAGTAGATGGTTATTTTAGGAGATAGTGCTTGAAATTTTTCATCATGCCATGTACTTTTTTCTTCAGGCAGGATCTCTAAAGCTTTCTTTTTGAGAAGCATGTCTTGTTTAGAATTTAACTCCTAAGCCTTAAGTTGCTTGGCTAACTCTTCATTTATTTCCATTTGAGACTTAGAAAAACTTTTCACATAACCAAAATGTTCTCTATTCAGTTTCAGTTGCAAACAGTCTTAGAGAAAGAAATCATGCACTTATCCTTGTGCCTAGTGAATACACTTCAATGGCAGATCGCATCAAGTACTACCTAGAAGGTCATGACTCTGACATCTGGACCTTCATTTCCAATGCGAAACACACTGCAAAATTTCTAAAGGATATTAGAGTTCTTAAATCCGATGTATCTCCTAAAACCTCCAAAGTTATTTCTGCATATGTGTCCTCCGTTGCTCAACTTCATGAGAGGAAAATCAAGAAGCTTGAGGCTAAGGTGATGCAAGAGCTCTTATCTAGAATTGCTCGTGACATTTATGAGCAACTTCCTGATGAAGATAAGATTTAACCCTTCAATGCTTGGAATGAACTCAAAAAGAAATTTGAGGGAACTGATAAGATTCTTGCAAAGAGGAAGAAAGCCTCAATGATAGATATGGACAACTTCAAAGTGTTACCTCGTGAAACTTTTTTTTATGCATATTCCAAGTACAACATTCTTGTCAACGGGGTGAAGAAGATCAAAGGTGAAATATCGCAAGAGGATTTTAATCTAAAATTCTTGAATAGTCTATCTCTGAAATGGGATACAATGTAAATGATCATACTATAAAATACAACCAACTTAGACAATGTGTCTCTGTTTGATCTATATGTTGAACTACCGCAACAAGAGCCAAAATTCAACAAGGTTGCCCAAGGAACTCCCTTTGAGAATTAAGGACTTGTCATGGTAAATTCAATATCCATGGAAAATCATTCCCAAAACTTGATTGATCATCATAATCCAATACCAAACCACTTTGCTGATCAGTTTGCCAACCAAGGATATAGAGCATACCCTTATCAAAGTTTGAGTATGGCTCAACAGTACAATTATAATCTTTACAGGAAAACTCAATAACCTCTTCAAATATCAAATGGGTACATGGAAAATCATCAAGATTTCAATAGAACGATAATAGAATCTCATCAAATCAATGAGGAAAATAAGTACGAAGAATGCTTGACACTCTTCACCAAGTTCAATCCAAAATCCAAGAACTTTGTGAACATGACAACTGGGAACTTCATAGCGCAAAGTTATCAGCAACCCCAACATTATCATTAGAAATCTAGAAACTTCCAAGGAGGTAGCAACAGTCAACAAAGCTTCAATTCTCAGAATTCAAATTCTAAAAGTTACAACTCTCAGAGGACGAACACAAGGGTTCAAGGGAACAAGTTGAAGTCCAATGATGGTAATGAAGTAATCAGGTGCCACATATGTCAATGGGAAAATCATTTTTCCAAGGATTGCAAAAGGAAGGCCAAGAGAAAAGAATTTTGTAGTAGACATGACACTTAAATTGATTCTGTTCAGGAACTTGGATTTGGTAAGAACAGCAAGATAGTTGTCCACCATATTGAGATGAACTTCTTAAAGGCTATGAGATTGCCTGAAAGAACTGAATGCACATTTGAACAGAGTTAGTAATGGAAAAACTTTTGTGAATGCATTGAATGGTCCAAAAAGTGGGTGATTTGTGAGAAACTGGATCATTAGCCTGACAGCATCATTGTATGAGGGATGATTGGCAAATACTGCTCTAAAATTGTTCGAGGCAATGGAAGGGGATTGATATTTGATTGTAGATTTAGAGTCTATTGGTCGAGCAGACCCAGAGGCCTTCAACTGTTTCTTGGAGATGTCTGATTTCATCTTTGTTTCAGAAAAGGTTTTAAGAGCTTGCAAAAGCATTACCTTGTTATGGTGTATATGAAACTGTGCCAGTTGTAAACAACTTAGGAAATAATGTATAACATATCGATTCTTCCACTAGTTTGGATAAAGCATCCTTGTGGCATTGTCATCTTGGACATGTTAACAAGAGGCACATAGGCCAACTCCAGAAGGTTGGAGTCTTGGAGTCATTTGACATAAGGTCAGATGATAGTTGCGAGTCTTGTTTACTTGGAAAAACGACAAAGTCACCATTCATTGGTACTTGTGCTAGGGGTGAAGGCTTGTTGGACCTCATACACACAGATGTGTGTGGACCCTTCAGAACCTCCATAAGGGATGTTAACCACTTCTATGTGACTTTTACTGATGATTATAGTACATATGGTTATGTCTACTTAATCAACCATAAGTCGGAACCTTTTGAATAGTTAAAAGAGTTTAAAAAAGAAGTGTAGAATCATTTGGGCAGGAACATTAGGATGTTTCGATCCGATCGAGGAGAAGATTATTTAGTACAGAGTTCCTTGACTATCTAAAGGAATGTGGAATTGTTTCGCAACTGACACCTCGTAGGACACCACATCTTAATGGTGTGGCTGAGAGGCGCAATCGAACCTTGTTAGACATGGCGCGTTCCATGATGAGTCGAGCTTCGTTACCAATCTCATTTTGGGGGTATGCCTTAGATACTGCCACCCATATCCTTAATCTAGTCCCTACCAAGAAGGTTGCCAAAACATCTCACGAGATGTGGACTAGGAACGTTCCCAATTTGGACCACATAGAGATTTGGGGTTGCGAGGCTTTTCATGAGGTGTGAAACTCAAGATAAGCTTGAACCTTGTAGTGAGCGGTGTATTTTCATCAGCTACCCACAAAATTCTTTTGGTTTCCTCTTCTACAGACCCGGTGAGAATGTGGTCTTTGTAGCAAGGAGAAGGGTCTTTCGCGAGAGAGAGTTTATAAGCCAAGGAAACAGTGGGAGGCAAATTGACCTTGAAGAACTTCAAGAGTCAAGCGGTGAAGGAACCTTAAACATCAACAATCAACCTGAGGAGGAACCTCCTCTTGATCTGACAGATGAGTCTGTGCCTCTGAGGCGTTTCACAAGAGTTAGGAACCCACCTGAGCATTACTATGGTTTTCTATTACTGCGGAAGGTAATGCATTTATCAGTGATGGTACACTGGTAAATTTAGATGAGCCTAACAGCTTTAAGGAAGCCATGGCAGGCCGCAAGTCTGCCAAATGAAAAGAGGCCATGGACAGTGAGATTCAGTCCATGTATGACAATCAAGTTTGGAACTTGGTTGACAATGTACCGGGTTGTAAGACGGTCGTGTGCAAATGGATCTTCAAAAAAAAGACCGATATGGATGCAAATGTACACACTTTTAAAGCGCGGCTGGTTGTGAAGGGCTTTACTCAAACTCCGGGTGTTGACTATGATGAGACCTTCTCGCCAGTAGCAAACATTAAGTCTATTAGGGTTTTGCTAGCCATAGCTACATTTATGATTATGAAATATGGAAAATGGATGTCAAAACCGCTTTCCTTAAGGGGAAGTTGGTTGGGGATGTTTACATGAGTCAGCCATAGGGTTTTATCGATTTAAAGAACCCTAATAGAGTGTGTAAGCTTGAGAAATCCATCTATGGATTGAAACAAGCATCTCGCATATGAAATCTTTGTTTCGATGAGAAAGTCAAAGAGTTTGGTTTTTCGAGGAGCAAATATGAGTCTTGTCTATATGTTAAGGCTAGTGGGAGTATAGTTAGCTTTTTAGTATTGTATGTGGATGACATACTACTCATACAAAATGTCATCCCAATCTTGCAGGAGGTTAAATTCTGGCTTGGGAAGTGTTTCGCATGAAGGACCTTAGAGAAGCTGCCTATATCCTAAGGATAAGGATATTGAGAGAAAGGAGTAAGAGACTAATTGGACTTAGTCAAAGTACCTACTTGGATAAGGTGCTAAAGAGGTTCAGCATGCATGATTCCAATAAAGGTGATTTACCAATCTAGTGTAACGCTAAACTGAGTAAGCCTCAGAACCCGAGTACAGAGGATGAGATAGTCGAGATGAGTCGAGTACCATATGCTTCCATTGTAGGCTCGATCATGTATGTTGTGACTTGTACTCAGCCTGATGTGGCCTTTGCTTTCAGAATGGTCAGCAGATATCAAGGGAATTCGGGCAAGGCTCACTAGACTGCGGTGAAGAATATTCTTAAGTAGCTACGAAGGACTAGGGACTAGGTCCTTACCCTTGGTGGGAGTGATAACTTGAGAGTTGTGGGGTATATGGATGATGGCTTTCAGACTGATAGGAATAATTTCCGCTCTCAGTCGGGCTGGGTCTTTACCCTAAATGGAGGAGCAATTACTTGGAAAAAGTTCCAAGCAAGAAACAGTAGTTGATTCAACTTGCTAATCAGAGTACATAGTAGCGTGCGAGGTGGCAAAGGAGGCTATATGGCTAAAGAACTTCATTGGAGACCTTGGAGTTGTACCAGTTATTAAGGAGCCTATGGAGATTTTCTGTGACAATGAGGGTGCAGTTGCCTTAGCTAAAGAACCAAGGGATCACAGCAGATCCAGGCACATCGACAGAAAATACCACTTCATTAGACATCAAATAGAAGGACTCCTCGTGGTTAAGAGGGTATCATCAGATGAGAACCCAATAGATCCCCTTAAGAAGGGATTGTGTAGGGTTAAGCATTTGCAACATACGAGGCGTATCGGGCTGAAGAATGATATTAGTTTTACAGATTAGATAGTTATTTTTCTGAAACTTGTAAAATGTAAATTGACATTTGATGATTAAATAAAATTTATCGTTTATTTATAAGTAAAGTGTTGCTATCATGTGTCAGTTATTTACTATTGCTTCAATTTTGCATGTTTTGACTTCTGGAATAATTACTTTATTCAAACTCTCCATAGTCAGTCATATGCTGGAAGTAGATATGAATCAAAATTGTCATGAAGTTGGCTTGTAGATGTCTAATACATTGGACATAGTAAAAGTTACTACAACATTCATGAGTACTCATAAGTTCTGAGTATTGGATTCAACCCACGCTCACTTGCATCACTACATGCAATTTATCTCGAGTGACCGTAAGATGGTAATATCATATAAGTTTTCAAACCTAGA